TTTTTTTTTTTTGGTTTTTTGAGACAGGGTCTCACTATGTAGTTGAGACTGACCTGGAACTCACTGTGTAGCCCAGGCTGGTATCAAACTCACAGCGATTCTCCTGCCTCAGCCTCCCGAGTGCTGGGATTACAGGCGTGTGCCACCATGCCTGGCCTTCCTCCTTTCTCTTTTTTTCCTTTCTTCTGTGCTTTTTTTATGGGCCTGAACCCTAGAACCATTTATATGCTAAGCAGTTGCTCTTTCTGCCACTGAGCTGTACCCCCAGCCCCTCAGTGTGGAATTTCAGTATTTGGGTTTCTTTTTTGGTACCAGAGGTTGAACTCGGGACCTTGCATTTGTGAAGCAGGCAGTGGAACCACTGAGCTAATCCCTGGCCCTTGGGTTTCTTATTTCACACCTTCAGTGTGGAGGAGATGTTAACCCAGCCTGGGTCGCAGTCAGTTATGGCGTGTCAGCTCTGAGTTTCTTGTTTTACAGCTGAATTTGCCACATACCTGAATTTCTGCCGTTCCTTGCGCTTTGATGACAAGCCTGACTACTCCTACCTGCGCCAGCTCTTCAGGAATCTGTTCCATCGCCAAGGCTTCTCCTATGACTATGTGTTCGACTGGAACATGCTCAAATTTGTAAGTGCCGCTGCCAGTTCAGCCCTGTGGGTTGCGAACAGCCTGGGCCAGACTTGTACACAGGGCTCAGGTTTCACTCACAGTGTGCATTTGCAGTTGTGAAAGCTCAGCATACCCCAAGTAGGCCTCTACTTGTCCTGTCTCACGGTACCAAGAAGCTTGCTGTGGGGTGAGCAAAGGGCTGTGGAGGTTGTGGCCCCAGAGGGAGCCCCCAGCCGGCACTCTTGGCGTGCTTGGCTTTCCTCAGTTGAAAGGCCCTTCTGTGGTAATGGCCATCACCAGTTCTAGGGGCTCTGTGGGTTGAGCTCCCTCTGGTGATGTGGTGTTGCTCACACGGTGCTCTTGGGGGAAGCCTTCTGGGCTCCCAGACCCTGCCTCATTCCTTACCTGATTTACCTGGGTTCAGGGTGGGTGACCTGGTATTGAGCTTGCATCTGAGCTTTGTACACTAGTTGTGTGTTTGGTTTCTTCCATTAGCATAATTTGTCCACCAGAGGTGTGTGTCCTGTGGGTGTGGGCAAAGAGTCCCTGGAGCCTCTAGGCCAGGAAGTTGAGCTGCTGTGGGAATTCTCTCTTCGATTAAGGTCACTTTCATAGTTTAGGATAGAAATTGGTACCCTTGCACGGAGAACATCTGCTAATGGAGGAGCAGTGCTGCCTTCTCAGGGATGCAAACCAGAAGGCTTGCCAGGCAGCCAGGCCTGGTGCTGGAAAGAGAGCCCTCCCTCCACAGCGCCTATGCTGTGTCTGCACACTGTCCAGTCTGTGTGTCAAAGTCGCCACCCACGTGGTGGTTCCATATGCCCAACTTTGTTGTTGCAGGTGACAGCTTTGCTTTGAAAGAGACCAAGTGATTCATTCTGTAGCCTTGCGGGGTTGCAGCCCTCAGCCCAGCCTTGTATATTGACAGAAGCTGAGGGCCACCTGGCAGTGGACGGTGTGGCTGTGTCTTGTAAAACAGGTGTACCGAGAGGGGCGGCCCAGGGTGTTGTTTGCAGAGCCCTGAGGCATTGGTGATGAGTAAAGCTCACACGCTCGTGTGACTGGTGCCACTTAAATGGCTGCTTAAGAGCAGGTGTGCCATGTGTCAGGCTGGTCTATGTAAACCTGGACACAAGCCTCACCACTGGCCTGTGTGCGTGGCATGACAGTGAGTGGACCAGAGTCTGAACGGTGGTTGGACCCCTCTGTGAGCCCGCAGTCCTAGCTCTGACCTGGCTGGCTATTGTGCGCACCGGCGTGTTGCCAGAGGACTCGGTGCTACCACTGTGGCAGTGGAGTGCTAGTTCCTCCAGATGCTGGGAGTTGAAAGAGGAGCCCTGGCTGTACCATTGTCCCTGTCCAGGGACATTGTTGTCTCTGCATACTACTTTACAGGGTAGTCTCGTCCCAAGCAGCAGCTCGAGGTGCAGGGGAGAGTCGGGGCTTTTGGCTGCTTTGCACCAAATCCTGCTTCTCTTCTATTCCGACCTTCCCATCCTCAGGGTGCCAGCCGGGCCGCTGATGATGCCGAGCGGGAACGCCGGGACCGAGAGGAGAGACTGAGACACTCCCGGAATCCAGCCACCCGTGGCCTCCCTTCCACAGCGTCTGGCCGCCTGCGGGGGACCCAGGAAGTGGCACCCCCCACGCCCCTGACCCCTACCTCACACACGGGTGAGTGCACATACTGGAGTGGGGTCTCACGGGGCCTGGCTGGGCATACTTGGTGGTTGGTGTAACCTGGTCTGCACTTGAGTCGGTTCTTATGCAGAGAGTAGGTGCACTTGGGGCAGCACCTTTACCGGGCCCTGGTCTTTTAAGGACCGAGTTCTGAAAGCTGTTAACGAGTATTGGCAGCTGCTCATGTAAAGTTCTCTTCTCATAGTACACGTCTCCTCCGTGTACCTTTAGGCCCTCAGACCCTCTGTACCCTGGTTAGGGGGCCTTGGGTTACACTCCCACCACCAGCTGATGCCCGGGGGGCTGGCTGGAACCCTGTGCTGGCGAACGGTTGTCGGTGCTGCCCCTGGGAGAAAGAACCCTGTTCAGAGCCCAGTGAGGTGGGCACTGGGTGGGACTGGCCACTGGCCTGATCTGCGTGTCGAGTGACCAGTGCTGTCAGTCACTGCCGCATCTGGGAGCAGCCAGGGTTCCTCAGTATCCATGCTTTTTTCTCCCCTCCAGCTAACACCTCTCCTCGGCCTGTCTCCGGCATGGAGCGAGAGCGGAAAGTGAGCATGCGGCTGCACCGCGGGGCCCCAGTCAATGTCTCCTCGTCCGATCTCACAGGCCGACAAGATACCTCTCGCATGTCCACCTCACAGGTAGGCACCAGAGCTGGCCAGGGCGAACCAGGTTCGGACGTGGGGGAGGGCACATGTTGGCGAGTATGGGCACGGGACCACCCTGTGCGGATTCACCCATCTGCACACAGGCTCAGAGCTGAGCGAGTAGGGTGAGACTTGGGAAAGGCTGATGCCTGCCTGCCGCCTGCCGCCTGCCTGCCTTCCTTCCTTCCTTCCTTTTTCCCAGTTTTTGAGAATTTCTTACCCGTGGGGAAACTCCTAATTGAATGTTGCTTTCTGTTTGGAGCTTAAGACAGCTGAGGTGCTGAGGGCCTGCATCCCAGCCCCTCGAGGACAGGAGCTGTGTGCTGTGGGAAGCCTTCTCGCACTGCTTGACTTCCAGCTGCCACCCTGCAGGCTGGACTGCACAGGCCCACTTGTACCTTGCAGGGGCCAGTGACTTTAGGCTTCTTTCCTCATTTTTGCTCACCAGGAGCAAAGGTCCTGGAGAGGGGCAGCTCCACTGGAAGGGCTCCTATGCACTGTGAGCTGCTCATCTTCTGGAGACCCTGTCTCTGATGAGGGGGTGTTTGGGGGACCAGGTCAGCAGCACAAAAACACAACAGTGGTCTGTTCCCTTTGCAACCATGTTTCCTCCGCATCCTCCCTTCTCACTCTGCTTTTATTGTTGGTGTTGTGTGTTCGCGAATGTGCTTCTCTGAACAAATCAGAACAATTTTTACATATGTAGCAGTTTCTTTTTCTCGGCTAAATTTGAGAGTCCTCTGCTTAAAGAGGTGGGGTGAGGGTGTCAAGGACAAGTTCCCAGGGGCTGTTCCTGTCACCAGCAAACATTCCAAGGAGTGCCCAGGTTCCCAAGGAGTCTCATCAGGTGAGCGGGAGCTCGTGGCAGAAATGCGCTGGCGGCAGCCCCGTCCTTTGTCGTGCCATAGTGTCAGTCTGGTTAACTGGGAGCAGCCCAGCACCACTTGCTGATCAGCACACAGGGTTCCTTGGGCCTGGCCTGGCAAGCACAGGGCCACGGAGACGGGTGATCTTAGAATGATTAGCCAGACATGGACTGTTCTTTGTATCATTTTCTCTTTATTAAGAGCAGATATGCAAGGATGTGAGACGCTGTGTGTATGTGCATCGTCCCTCCCACCAGGGCCATCGCTCTGAGCTGTCTCTCCGGCTGTCTCCACATCTGGCCAGAGGGGTTATTTGAAATGTGGCTGGGGGTCTGACCAGCATCCTCAAAGTGAGTCCCGTAGTGTACACACGCACTGGCCCAGAGGACTTGGGCACCTTTTTGTCATTTGCCCAGCAAGCACAGTCTGGGGAGGAGACAGCTTTTTGCTTTTTTGGGGGTAATCATTGAGGGAAAGGAGTGAGTTGAAAGGTGCTGGGGGCAGTGGCAGTGCAGCAGCCTCTTCTCTGCTGTGTAGCCATCTCGACCTCGAGGTAGCAGGAGAAAATACCCTTGCTTCCGTCTGCCCGCCCTTCTGTGTGGCACTCGTGCGGTCAGCTGGCTGCTGGCCTGGCCTGTTTGCATGGAGAACTGTAACAGGGAGGGCAGGGTTGAATCCTCCAGAGGAAGCGCCTTGGCTTTTCCACTGGCGACTGTGTGCAGGTCCCCAGGCCCTGCCCGTCTCGGGGACTGGCTACACTTCAGCTGCTGTCTTGAAGGTTTTTCTGAGGGTTTCCCCGGGGAAGGTGGCATCTGTCTCTGGAGCAACCCCCGTCCCTAGTGTGCTCTTCCAGGGCAAAAGCTCCTCCTCCATCGGCACTTTCCAGACCCACCACCCAGCGTCTGCCCGGCGGTTGGGAAGCCAGAAGGGCTGGCGGGTGGGCGGGGTGGCGCTGCAGCTCCTGCACTTGTGTGACCTCCACCCTCACACACTCCTGAGGAGAGTTGGGCACTGGACTCAGCACCGTGTGTGCAGACTCAGAGTTGTGGTGGCCATGCTATGCCAGCTGAGCTTCCTCAGTGGCCGCTGTTCTTTTTCCTCATCCCCTCTGGGAGCTAGGGCATCTGTGAATGTCCAGCACGTCAGCAGAGAGGCTTCATGGGGCTCCCTGGTCCTCATTCCCCTGCCCATGCCCAGTGTCTGCACAGCATCACAGGTCACTGAGTGGCCTTCTTGCTGATGCAGGGCCTGGCCCTTCCTGGGCTTGGTGGGAGGGCAGCTGCTCCGTCCTGGGCCTCGTCCCTTCTGAAGGGCACCTTGCATTAGGCCAGCCCTCTGGGGGATTACAGTGTCTACATTTCCCAGTCTGTAAGTCAGTTCTTGGACCTGCCGGGCATGTGGTCAGTGAATCTGTGTAGGTTTTCTTCTCTTTGTGAGAAGGGCCTTCTCTGTCCAGTTATTCCTTTCAGTGGCTTTAGTTCACACCCTTCCTAAGCAGGAGATCAGCAGCCTGATGCTCCCATGAGTGAGGAAGTGTGACCCGTCTGTATCCCTCCGGGCCGGTCACAAGAAGCAGGTGAGCTGTGTGGAGAGACTGGCCATCCCCAGATCCCTGCAGGCCACCTGTGTGGAGCTGGCCTAGGCAAGGAGACACATCAGACCCAGGCCTGACGTGGGTGTCGGGCCGGGACCTCGCCTGCTGGTCTGGCCAGTGGGGCACTTACCAACCGCTGTCTTTTCCCCACCTCAGAATAGCATTCCTTTCGAACACCACGGCAAGTAGCTGCTCATCTCCGTTGGAAGGCAGCACTGGGTGAGTGTGCTCACGGTGGGGCTCACAGACCACTCCCCACCCACCATAGGGCTCGCAGGCGGGCTGGGCTTGCATGCCAGGCGCTGGAGGCGTAGTGAGGCTTCTTCCGCTTTGTTCTTCTCATGTGGGCTCCAGAGCAGCAGCAGTCAGCACCCCATCTGAAGGGCAGAACCATCCTCCATCTCTGGACGGAGCAACCCTAGGGGACGGTCCTGCTGTGCCCTTGGCCTCTAGCCTCCCTGTGACTGCATTCGGTGTGCCGGCGCTGCCCTCTGCCCTGGGTCCTGGCCCGGCTGCCCCATCCGGGGTGTACTGGTATCTGTGTCTGTTGTGCTCAGCTGAGTGGCGCCACGCTTGGTGTTGGGGCTCTTGAGCTCTTGCTGCGTTCAGACTCCTGGTGGTCTCTTCCCATCCCGGCTTATGTAGTCACCCCTCTTCCTCTCTCTCATTATTTCTGTCTCATTTTGTGTTTCTCTCCAAATTTGGCCCTGGCCTCGCCATCTCGTCCCTGCAGCTGTCGTCTGTACTAACCCATCTGGCCACAGCCACCTGCTCCCCGCGCCGGTGCATGGCTGGGCGTCCACCCTGAGCTCCCTTCTTGTCGGCTGCGTGGCACTCAGTGGCGCCTTCCAACAGGGGCTTGAGCTTCTGAGGGTTTCGTGCCACCGAGAGACCTGCAGGTTTAGCACTGTGCACTCTTGGGCGCGTGAGGGCAGAGGCTGCTCTGGTTCTTCCCCACTCCCGTTCTCAGCGCACCTAGTCAGTTACTCTCCAGGAAGGGACACTGGAAACACCCGTCTGACCCGTGGACTCTCAGGATCAGCTCTGAGCTCTCCTCACTTGCATGCCTCTTCTTCCTTCCCCTTCTTGCTGTTACCATCCCGCTCAGCGGTGTCCTGGCTGCAGAGGTCCCGTTGTGCAGCCACAGGTGCAGGTGTCTAGGTGGGGACCAGGCGGCAGTGTGCCCTTTACTTTTCAGGCTCCATGATTGGTTCTCGTGCCCGGCGCCTGGCTGTCTGTTGCCCTGGCCCCATGCTGACCTTTTCCTGTGCTTTGGCTCCGACAGATTCCCAGTCGGGTGGCTTCCAGTGGTCTTCAGTCTGTCGTGCACCGATGAGAACTCTCCTTTTTGCTGTGAAGGGCAGACAATGCATGGCTGATCTACTCTGTTACCAATGGCTTTACTAGTGACATGCCCCCTGGTCTAGACCCGAAATGTTCACACCGGGAGCTCTCCAGGCCACTCACCCAGCGAACACAGACTGAGCGGACAGGCTCCGAGAGCGGCCACCGCCAGGGGCTGCCGCCACGGCCCCACAGAAGCTCAGCTACCACGGGGCTGGGAGGATGAGCAGAGTGTGGGAGACCTTGCAGAGACCCCGCCTGCCACGAGCCTCTCTGCCCGCCAGTGGTGGCCAACCTGTGCTCCCTGCGATCCCACAGCGACTACCAGTCTTCTACTTGGTTAAGACAGTTTTGTATCATTTTGCTAAAAATTACTGGCTTAAATCTGTGTAAAGAAATCTGTCTTTTTATTGTTTCTTCCTTGTCTGTTTTTGCAGTCTTAAGGATGTTGACTTTAAAGACTTCCTGAGCCAGACACTGGCTTGCCATGTCTGTGGAGTCAGTAGAGGGGGCAGTGTGAGTGTCCAGGATGTGCGTTGTTTGTTCTCTGTGTTGTATTGTCACTCTGGAGAGGGAGCGCCTCGGTGGAAGCTGTGTGCACGTTGTATCTCAGCCCCCAGCCTGGTCCTGGCCTCGCGCGCCTTCCCTTCTGTAAGCTGAAGTATCTGCTGTTGTCAGCGCACTAGAAAGCATGGCCGCTGCAGAGCAAGTGTGGCCGGTGTGTTGTGCAGAACGTCGTGCCTTTCTGCCCAGAGGAGTGAGGAGGAAGTGAGGGTCTCGGCGGACTCGGGCGCAGGCCTTGAGAGCCCGTAAGACAGTGGGAGTCTGGATTAAAGTTGAGTGTGCGTTTCTGATTTCTGAGAAGAGATGGTGTACGGGTTGTGTATGGTATTTTGGTAGTGTTTGTTGCCTTTATGCCTTTGAATTTGGAAAGTTTCTGAACAGACTGTAAATACTGCCGTACAGATTGGCACTTGGTCTGTGTCTTTGCCTGCTCAAAACCAGGGAGCAAGTTGTCCTCCTAGGTGCCCTGGTTTGCCCAGAAAGGCCACTGGCTGAGGGGAGTCCACCCAGAGGTGCCAAGAGGCAGGTGACTGCCCTTCTGAATCTAGAACCTTCACATCCAGAAGGATGTGGTGCCACACGCTCTGACCTTCAGCCGGACTTCTGTGGGGGGAACTGCGGCTGGCCTGCCCTGTGGGCTGTGCTGCTGTGCTATTGGCAGTTGGGGTCCTGAGATGCTTGGCCCTGCCTGTGACTTTCCACCACATGCACTGCCTGGTGGAGACAGCAGTGGGCCTGCTCACTCCTTGGGGATGACGCAGATGTATTCATGGGTCCATCTCCGTTTCTCCCTGCCGATGTGTGGAGAGAGCTTGGCTGGGACCCGGGTGCTCTTGGAGGAGCTAATAGTGCCACGTGGCTTTTCCCTCCTAACCCAGAGATCTCTGGCACAGAGCCCTGGCCCCAGGGCCACCGCTCATGTGCGGCGGCATCCCAGAGTACAGTTATTCGCTGTCCCAGCCATCCATCCGTCTGTCTGAGCCTGTGGGCTCTCTGCTGAATCCTGAGCTGGCTACTCTGCAGGCATTTGGGGGTGTAGGGCCTTGGCCGGGGAGAACTGTGTGTCTGGGTGTGCATTGGGAGCTCAGGTGGGTCAGCCAGGGTTTAGGTGTCCATAGCTGTGAGCCCCTGTATCGGTGTTGGGCTCCCCCTCCCAGCGAGCTGGCAGGGGTGGCGGCGGCAGCCCTCCATACAGGTCCTTTGTAAATAGCCGTGGTCCCCGGCACAGAGCCAGAGGGCAGTGCCAGGCAGCCTCCAAATCTGCACCATTGCAGCCTGGGCCACTGGCTGCCCTGGGAGTGGACCCACCTGAGCCCTCAAGGGTGTGGCTGTGATGTTCTTGCCCAGTATTTAATCCCCATCACACTTACAGGAAACATAGTTAGAATGTGTGTATCAACCTGTGTCTTGGTGACCAGTCTCTGAGCTGTGCGTTTGTACTACCACTGTATTTGTGTACTTTAACAATTGTGTAAATAATAAATTCATAATGACTTCTACGTTTCTTCCCTACCCCTTTCGTGTGGTCTTTATTTCATTAGCTGAGAGTTTTGAGTGGGTTTAGATTAACTGTGAAAACTGACTTTTTTTTTTCCGTTTCCTCCTCTTTGTGGGACTGGGGATTGAACCCACAGCCTTCATAGTGAGTTGTATCTCTACTCCTCCAGCCCTTTATTTTGAGACAGCATATTGCTAAGTATTCCAGGTCAGACTCAAGCTCTTGTGACTCTTCTGCCTCAGCCTCCCAGAGTGCGGGGATGACAGGCATGCACCTCCATACCTGGCTGCGCAGTGACTGGGAGAGTGGGTTCCCGCTAATCCTTGCTCAGCCTGTGTGTTGGTAGCTCGTTGGAGCAGGCACCAGGATACTCGCCACTTAGGCTCTGGTGTGACAGGTGGGGTCCACAGAGTTTCACATGTGTGTGTTCTGTGTGGTGTTTCTGAGAAACCCCTCTTCCTCTCAGCTAAGCATCTTTAGGAAATAGGCCGCTTAACCGCCTCATCCCTCTGGGTGGCCCTGGTACCTTAGTTTTCTTGGGAAGTAGTACAGGAATTGAGCACCTGACTTGTCCACCTGCCACGCTCAGGTCTCTCCACCACTGGCTCTTTTTTGGGGGACGGTACTGGGGATCGAACTCAGGTCTTTGTGGTTGTGAGGCAGGCGGCAGAACTGCTGAGCTAAATCCCCGGCCCCTCCACCTTTTGGCAGAGCTTGGCAGCCTGCTCGTCTGGCTCCCCACGGGAGCAGGCAGAGCATCCCTTGTCTCACCTAGAGTCCACGGCAGCACACCCCTCCTCAGGGCAAGGACCAGGAGACAGGCTGTTGGAGCTGGGTCTGTAGCTGCTGCTTGGGCTGCCCCTTCTATGGGGCAGCGCATTCTGTGCTCACCAGTTTGGGGCAGCCAGGGGCACAGCAGCAGGACTTCTGGATCAGATTCACGGGGAGTGGGGAGGGTGTTGGAGTTCAGAACAGATTGGTCCTGCATGTGGTGCACATGTGCATGTGCTGGAGGGGACTCTGCAGCGTCCTCTCAGACACGACTTTGCTGCCCCTCTGGCTATTACCAGGCACCCCAGCCAGGAGCCCCAAGCCACTCCAGCTCTCATCCTAACTCATTTGGTCTCCCCACCCCCTTCTTTTAGCCATCCTCTGCCCTATGTATACCGGATGGGCTTTGCTATTGTCTTTGCCCATATCAGCACCTTCCCTGGCCATGTGTGCTCCCTCCTATTTCTCAGGCGCCACCCCCATGAAGGGTCCTTGTGCTGGGTGAGCTGGAGCTGGCCTCCGCCTGGGCTGCTGCAGCTGCCTCTTGGAGGACACGGTCCAGGCACTGCAGAGTGAGTCCTGCAGGTCTGGATTCCATCCACCTGGGACCAGGCGTTCTGTTCAGACACCCAGCACTGGCCAGACCTCCAATCTGTGGTTGTTCTCCACCGCTGTGTAGAAAATTCCCCCGGACAGGCCAGGGCACCTGGCTTGGTGATAAGAGGACCCTTGTGGGCCCATCTGGGAGTGGTGCAGATGGACATGCCTCTCTGGAACGGCTCTCACTGGTGTTGAACATGAACTTTGGCACCTGAATGTGTCCCCCACAGGGCAGCCCTGTTCATGCCCGTGTCCTGACACCCCAGCCCTCCACCACTACCCTCCAGCACTCAGTGGCCTTCCTGGTTTCTTTTGGCCTTTCACCTCAACTTGCCTGCCAGATCACAGCATAGTGTCAGCACCAGGTGTGTCTGGCGGCCCAGCTTGAGCACAGGATGTGCCTTTTTCTGTGTCTGTGTGCATTTCTGATTCTTTTTTCCAGTGAAGGCAGCCTGCTCACCGTCTTCCTGTGGTTGTGGGGAGTGGTATCCTCACCAGGCCAGGCAGATCTGGGGGCTTCAGGGCCATGCAGCCTCTCCCTTCAGTGGATCCCTCCCTGCCAAGCCACAGGCTTCTTGAGCAAACCCAACATCTTCATCTTTTGAGTTGTGTCCCCAAAGCCTGACTTGGCATCACCATTTCCTGGCTGTGCTGTGTGCTCTGAGTACAAGCTTGGGACAGGACTTGGGGAGGAGGGGTGTCCTGCTGCTCCATGACTGGATGGTCACTGGGTCAGGTCCTGTTCAGACTATTCTGGGAGAAAGCTCCTGGCAGCCACCCTGGTGTAACTGCTAAAGCCAGCAGGGCCAAGGAGAGCTAATCAGGTCCTGGAGGAAAGAAGTGGAATGGGGGCCCTGAGCAGCAGAGGTAGGAAGGAGAGGAGCCAGTCAGGTGTCCATCAAGGCCTGGCACCCTGTTGAAATGCCACCACTCCCCACAGCCTTGGCCCTTTCCTTCCTGTTTCTGGAGGCAACTGATTCCCATGTTTGAGGTCAGCACGTCCTGGGGCCTGGGGTCTGTGCTGTTTCCTCTCCACATGATGAGGTCAGTACACAAGGCAGAGCCTCCCAGGATGTGTGTTGCCCTTGGCCATCAGGGCTGGGCAGTGAACCCTCAGGTGCTAGTACTGCCCATCAGCCCAGCCCCTGGCAGAGGGAAGAGGAAGACCAGAGGGAAGGAGGCATCTGAACCACAGGCTGTAGGCAGGTGCCTGGGCTGCAGGAAGTCACCCGCTTCCTTGAAGAGCTGGTTGCAAGCTCTCGCTTCCTTTTCATTGCAGAGGAGCAGGGATGTGGCATCTCTCCGGTTGCACACGGCCCGCCAGGGTGCCCGCTGCCGTCCCCAGCACCCACGACGTACCACCTACTGAGGCCCCAGCAGCCTCTGACCAGGCTCCCAGCCACACAGGCCACCGCTGGCCACAAGGGCAGGTGGGTGTGAGGCACCCAGGGCCAGCCAGAGCTCTGAATGCAGGCTGGAGAATGGGGAGCAGAGAAAAGCGATGCTGACCACACAGAGCAAACTTACCAGCCAGCCAGGGATGAATAAATGGAAGACAGGAAAATGTGTTTTAAGCCCACATGCAGTAAACAGCACACACTGTTACTCAGGTCAGTCCACTCACCACTCGGACTCCCACAGGTCTAGAGACCAGTCAGGATGTGCCAGACCAGTTCCTGGGGCCTGCAGCTGCCTACTGGGCACCCCTCTTGCACAGTGTGTCCCTGCAAGCCCTTTTCTCCATGCCCTGTGAAAACTCACAGCCAAGCAACCCCACCTGCTCCTTCTGCTGGGCTGGGAGAGCCTGCAGGAAACACTCAGGACACACAGCCCTGGGGGAGTGGACAAGGACAGGACCACTTGTGAGAATAACCAGGCTGTTTCTCCATAGAGTTGAGACTCGGGCTAGACAGACCGCCGAACAGAACTGCACCAGCAAGTCTCTCCAAGGCTGCACCACACACACACATCGCGCACCTTCCCAGACGGGCAGAGGGGAACGGGCTCTGCAGGAGACAATGGCAGGACAGTGGGGTCCAACCCCAGGGAGGGCCCAGCAGCAGCCCAGGCTCTGATTAAAGCGGTATTGTCTCAGAAGCCTGGGTTTCTAGGTCCTTGACCACAGTGGAGCACAGCCTGCTTGGGGTCCGAAGGTGGGGTCTGTGGTTTAGGCGGCTTAACTGTAGGGCTTGGCTTCACTGCAGATGCGCTTTGGAATGATACGATCCCCACTTCACCACCACCTCCACAAAACAGGTCGGGTGGTGACCCAGTGACCAGGCAGCCAGAACCTCAGCACTGAGCTGACAGCCCCACCGCCTAAGCTAATCCTGTTTGTGAAATAAATACACGCTGCCAGTCTGACTCTTGACCCTTGTGCCCCGCTGGCCCCAGCCAGGCTGCTCATACACTGGTTTCCGGGGTGTGAACCGCCTCCCCGTTTTTCTCAGTCTCCGCCTTCAGGAAGTGCTCCACCTCCCTCGAGTCCACGCTCACATCCACAGGGGGCTTCTGGAGCTTCTCCTCCTCTGGGGCCGCTGCCTCGGGCTTCGATGCCTCAGTCCTGCTCCCGATGCAGAAGTTGCCCAGCAGCAGCACGAGGGAGGAAGTGAGCACCTCAGCCCCCGCCAGGAGGAACACGTACTTGTAGACGTGTGTCGCATCCAGCAGCTTGCCTGCAAGAGGACCTGGGTCACCAGCTGTGCCCTGAGAACCACAGGTGTCTCCTGGGTCCCCGGCTCCTCCTGACACCTCTAGTGTGTAGCTGGTATGTCTGGGAGGTGGGGAACGCCCCCCACGGTATGGACACCTTGCTGCCTCAAGCACCCTTCAGCGCCATCCTCTGCCCTCCCACTTCCTCTCCCCTGCTCCAGCAAAGGCTGAGAGCTGAAAACAAGTAGTGTTGAGGGTTTGCAGAGTCACGGGGCAGGGTGAGCCATGCCCAGTCATGGAAGAGCCTTCCTGTGGCCCCTGGCGCACTGCTGGGCTCTGCCCAGCCCTGCACACCATAGTCAAGGACCCTGAGACCTGGAGGGCTGGATGGTGTGGTGTAGGGTGTGCTCTCCCACCCCAGCATCCTATTGGGGGCTGGAGGCTCATGTGGGGGCCAGAGCCTGTCAACTTCACCTCACTGGGGCCCAGCTGTCTACACACTGCTGACACTTGCCGGCCTGGGCCTCCCAGTTCTGGGTTCCCGGAGTGTCCCCCCAACCCCCAACAGCACTCACCACCCGACGGGGGTCCAATAAGCACAGCCATGGCCTCCATCAGCAGCACCAGGCCGATGGCGCTGGAGAACTTGTGGGTGCCCACAATGGCCATGAGCACTTCAAACTGCAGGGCACCCACCATGCCATAGGAGATGCCGAAGAAGATGCAAAAGACTACCAGGCCCCCATAGTTGCTGGCTGTGGAGCCTGTGAGGTCAGTGAAGCCATTGAAGAACATGGCGAAGCTGAAAAGGTAGACAGAGTAGGGCCGCACCTTCTTGAGCCCTGTGATGAAGCCAGCGGTCGGCCGCGCAAAGATGTCGATGAAGCCCAGGATGGTGAGCAGGAAGGCAGCCTTTGTGTCGGGCACTCCCAGGTCCTTGGCATAGCTCACCACAAACACAGGTGGCACGAAGAGGCCCAGTACCATGATGGAGGCAGCAACCGCATAGATGACAAAGCCGCGGTCCCGGAAGACACTCAAGTCCAGCAACCGCCGGGACGACTGCTGGGGCCCGGGACCCCCGCCCGACTTGGGGGCCACCAGGGGCCTCATGAGCGCAGCACACACACAGCAGTTGAGCAGCAGGCCACCCAGAATGAGGAAGCCACCCCGCCACCCGTAATGGTCCTGCAGCACCTGCCCCAGGGGGGACAGTGCACACAGGAACACTGGGCTGCCCGCTGCTGCCAGCCCGTTGGCTATGGGACGTCGCTTACTGAAGTAACGGTTGAGCATGATGAGGGAGGGCTGGAAGTTGAGAGCCAGACCCAAGCCTGCAGGGGAGCAGAGGGGAAAGTGTGAGACCCCACCGGCAACTCCTTGTTCAGACTGTAGCTCTGTCCTAAGTGGTGTCTGTGTGGTTCTGAGGGTGCCCATGGGGAGCAGAGGAAGCCCCTGCCACCTCTGTGCCTACCGCACCCCTGAACAGGGGTGCATGTGGCCAGGACATCCTGGTGCTCAGTCTACCCATCTCTCCCACCTCCCAACACCCAGCGGGTCCACTGGGTCACACTCACCAGTAAGGACGCCTGCGGTGAGGTAGAGCTGTATAATGCTTGTGCAGAAGGACGCAGCCACCATGCCCAGGGACGCAAAGAGGCCACCCACAAGCATGACGGGCCGGCAGCCAAAGCGGTTCACACACACACTACAGAGTGGGCCTGTAGGGAAGTGGCAGCTGGGGTGGGTCTGCAGGCCCGCTGGGAGCCCAGAGTTGTCGGCCCCAGCCCACTGCCTCGGACGGTCACTCCCTCCCAGACACCTCCATTCGCCAAGGGTCTGGCAGCACCGGCCGGGGTCCCAGAGGGCCCTGGAGGCACAGCCTCACCCCACAGGGTGCATGTGACAGCCCCCGGTGCCTGTCTTCGAGGACTTGCCGCCATTTAGAGGACAGCTCATGGAACCACATCCTCTGGGACTGTCCATGGACACCACCCACTGTTGGGGCAGGGCCAAGGCTTGTGTCACCACGGCCGGTCCGCTCCCCAGCAGGGTCCCGTCTCGAAGGCTTCCCTCCAAGCATGGAACCTGAGATGCCCCCACCCTGGGTCAGCCAGTCCATGGCCCCAGACCCAGGGCCCGAAGGGGAGGCCCCACCTGTGCCGTACAGCATGGCCAGCAGGATGGAGGAGATCCAGGCCGTGTCACTGTAGCCAATCCCGAACTCACGAATGAGCTCCTTGAAGAAGACGCTGACGGCTTTGGGGAAGGCGTAGGAGAAGCCCGTGATGACGAAGCAGCCAAAGAGCACTGCCCAACCCCAGCCCCCATCAGGGGCCTTGATGCCTGGGGGGCCCTCGTCCACCACGGCGCCGCCCATGGCCAAGAGGCTGGTTCTCCTCACCTGAGAGGAAAGAAAGGGACCAGTGCTGGCTCAGGTGCCAGGGTAATCATGTAGCTGCAGCCCTGCAGGGGAGGTTGGAAATGCAGACAGGCTGGGCATGCCAGGAGGCTGGCACTGGCACCTGGCTGCTCCCAGACCGCAGCCATGGGCAGCCGGCTAGTGCCACAGCCTGCCACCTTGGGCCACCTTTACCAGCTGCTTGGTTACCAGGGCTAACCCACCATCGGACTCTGAAGAACAGTGGTTTTGGGGCTCAGCCAGAACTCATGTTACATCCTGGGAAGAGCAGACCCCACAGGGCAGTGTGTGCTCTGTGCTCAGTGACAGCCCACCCCTTCCTCTCCAGCCGTGTGAGGTGGTGGTGTCCTCTGGGAGCACGTACAGTGGGGGCAGCTACTCGTCCCCCTTCCCATGGTAGAGCCTGGCAGCTGCCAGAGCCACCTTAGGCTCTTGAGAAAAGCGGAAGGCTGGATGGGTTCAAGGGAAGGTCTGGGGCCCAGGTAGAGGCGGCTTCTGGCCAGCCCACTGGATCTGTTGTTTGGGCCCAGGCTGGCAAACCCCACGCCAGCCAAGGCTGACTTCCCTTTTTTTAAGTCCAGGAGTTTAGCTCATCTGAGGCTGGGGCCAGGATTCCAGCTTCCTGCCCCACTCCCGTCTGAAGTCCCCTAATCTGAGGTTATCTCCAACCTCACCAAGGAGACAGCCGGGACAGGGCTGGCGTCCAACACCCAGGGCCTTCAATCCTGCTCGGTCTCTCCCCACCAGTGGTGTGTCTTGCCAGCTCCCTGGGGAGAGAGACAAGCCCTGGTGTGTAAGGTTATTTTTATTTTTATATTTTTTTGTACCGGGGATCGAACTCAGGTCCCTGCGCTTGTGAGGCAGGTAGCAGAACCACTGAGCTAAGTCCCCCGTTCCTGGTGTGTAAGGTTAGCCTGTGCAGCTGATGCCGAGAGCCCACAGTCACCTCCCCCCTGGTGTAGCTGTCTTCTGGACTCCTCCTGCAAGCACAGCACCCCTGTGGGGAGCTGGATACTGGGCCCTGGGATGGGGACCTAGGCTCAGTCTGACCTGTTCACCTAGGGTGACTCACAAGCCTTCCAAGGCAGTACCCCACCTCAGACCAGCCAGGCTTATCCAAGCCTGAGACAGGACACAGAAGGACATAGTCCTGACACACCGAGTGACAGACAATGAGCACAGGATGACTCTTGTCCATATTAGCACTAAATTCAAAAGACCTTACCTATATAATCCCAGCTACTCAAGAGGCTGAGGCAGGAGGATCACAATGAGCCCAGCCTGGCCACCTTACCCTGAACTGTTCTCAAAATTAAAAGGGCTACCCAGGGCCGGGGATTTAGCTCAGTGGTGCCACTACCTGCCTCACAAATGCAAGGTCCCAAGTTCAATCCCCGGTACCAAAGAGGGGGGGCTACCCAGGCATACTGGCGCACATCTGTAGTCCCAGCACTGGGGAGGCTGAGGCAGGAAGATTACTGAAAGTTTAAGCCCAGCCTGGGCTACATAGTGAGTTCCAGGTCAGCCGGAACTACATAGCAAGACCCTGTCTCAAAAAAATTAAATAAATTAAAAGGGCTGGAGGGCAGCTTAGTTGGTAGAGCACTTGCCTAGCATGGGAGGCCCAGGGCTCAAACCCTAGTACTAGGGGAAAGGGGAACACCCCTAAGATTATATACAGCAGGAAAAAACTGAAAATGTACATTTTAGGAATGCATAGTAATAATTCACAGTTCATAATTTCTGTGAAAAAAAGGGGGCAGGGCTCCTGCTTGTTTGGATTGTGGATTTATGGATTTTTTTTTTTTTTTTTTTTTTTTTTTTTTTTTTTTTCAGTGGTT